TTGTCCTTTAATTGGAAAAACTCCCCCTGCGCCCCCCGGGCGCGGAGAAAGGAGGTGTGACAGTGAGAAAACATCTTAAGTGCTGTATGTTCTTTTCCTTATGCTTATTAGCTGGTAGAAACTTTGTTAGAGCACTTGCACAAGCATACACGTAGTTGTACACTCCCATTGGATATGAAGTTCTTCTGATATTGTTGAGTATAGATGTACACCCTCGTTTACTTGTCATATATGTAAGAGTAGCTCTACTAAGCAAGTGAGTTGTCAACGTAACCATAAGGTATGATGAGGGCACAGGTTGCCAAGTATTAAGGTTCAGGTATTGAGACCCGTGAGTTGCAATTTGTCCGAGATTCGGTATTTCGTGGAGTTTGTTGGCTAAGACCTGATGTGAACACTGTCGTAGGTTCTAGGTTATGGCTTAACTTTACTGTATTTGTGATTTAGGATTTGGGTTTGTGATTTCGCTCGCTCTTCTATGTCATTATTATGGTATTTCCGTTGTTACTTGCTGTTTTCTTCCCTTATTGTGATTGTTGTATTGTTAGCCATATTGTGTAGTCTTTATATATATATATACATCATGTTCCGTTGTTCCTGTGCTTATATTTGTACAGTTTATTAGACCAGTAGGTATCTTGACTGTTCCTCATCACTACTCCATTGAGGTTAGTCTTGATACTTACTAGGCACTGCCGTGGTGTGCTCATGCTACTCTTCTGCACATTTTTTTGTTGTGCAGATCCCAGGTATCGATCGTTAGTAGCTGTTTGGATCATTGCTGAGGAGACTCGAGGTAAACCTGCTACTACATTCATAGGCTTCAGAGTCACCTTCTTACTTGTATCCAATTGTTTTCACTCTTTCCAAAAAGTTTATATAGAAGTGGTAGTTAACTCTGTAGAGCTTATGACTTGTACTATCGGGTTTTGGGAATTATAGAATTTTATAGAGATTTCTGCTTCAAGACTGTTAAATTTCATTTATTATTGTGGTATTTCAGTATGAGTTAGGCTTACCTAGTCCCTAAGACTAGGTGCCATCACGATACCCAAACGGAGAAAAAGTTGGGTCGTGACACAATACCTTTGTCTCAATGAATGACCTTTTCCAGTTTGAAGTAGACTTGACTTAACCTTACCTTGATGTGGAAGAATGCATTTCAGCACTGACTGATCTACCTCAAATTGCTTAAGAGACATTTCCTTGTTGTATGCTCTTATCAACCTCTTGATTTCCTAGACTAACTGCCTCAATTTCACTTAGTTCAAGCTTCAGGTTATCTCAAAATGCGTGAATCTTTACTTGTTTCCTCAAATGCATCCTTTTATCATATTTAAAGTTGTGTCATTGCTTCATGATTAAACTAACTTTCAAGACCAGGCTAAGATTTATGTGTGCATATCGTGTCACTAGAGTCAGCATGAAAAGAGCTATAAAAGGAAAAGTGACCTAAACAAAACTGACTAGAACTAACAGAAACAGGAGATTGCATTAGAGAAACGGTGAAAAGGGTTACAACAAAACAAGTAAAATAGACATGGGTTACAACCCTGGAACAACTGTATATAACACTAGAGTTACTAAAATAAAACGAACTAGGGAAAATAAGAAGAAGAAGGATTTGAGCCACAAGACCATATCAAGATTACAACCCTAAAGTAACCCGGACGACAGAAATGACAACAAAATAAACCATCAAAACTCCTTCTTGACTTGCCAAGAAAGGAGTGTCTTTCCAATCACCAAGCTCGACATCTTAGCCATTGAGTTCCACATCAATATTACTGGGACCTTCACCAACTTCAATCACATTGTCTTCACCAAGTGGCTCATTGACTCCTTTGACCAACCCTTTGTCATTGCAAACCATCCCAACAATTTGTGCATTATCATGTACCTGTAGAGGATTATGTGTGACACTTGGGGTATTACTGCCTTGGACCACAATTATCCCTTCTTGAATAATTCTTTCTATTTCCCTTTTCAAAGCACGACAATCTTCAACATTGTGCCCCTGGGCATTGGAATGGTATTCACACATTTTAGAAGGGTCAACACTTCTTGCACGTGGGTCCACATGATTTGGAGGAATAGGTGAAATCATGTCACAATGCTTTAATTTCTCAAACAAGCTTGCATAGGACTCTTCTATTGGGGTAAAATTATCTTTCAACCTTTGTTCCCCTCTATACCTTGTCTTGGATGTGGGTTATAGGGCACTTAAAATTTTGTGGAGGCTGGTGGAGATTTTGCGATGCTGGTGCTCGCCTTTAGGGTGTCTTAGTGGTTGAACAGATGATCGGACGTTGTTTGAAGGATAATACTGAGATGGATTATGTGGAGCTCGGGGATAGGTTTGGGGTTAGGTCGGGGTCGAGGCTAAGTATATTGGTAAGGTGGACCCGTTGGGCCATGTCGTGATCCTGAGACAACTATGGCAACATCATCATGTTCCTTTTGACCCAACAAACTTCCTGTGTCATTCTGAATTGCCTGTGTTGTGGCTTTTAAAGTAGAATAGTTCATGATCTTGCTTGACTTTAGCCCATTTTCTAACATTTTCCCCATATTTACCACATCATTAAAAGGCTTACCCACAGCCGAGATCAAATGCCCAAAGTAGGCTCTTGAGCTTGAAGAAAGTACTCAACCATTTCAGCTTCTTCCATCGGAGGATTGACTCAGGCAGCTTGTTCTCTCCATCTGAGCCCGTATACCCTAAAGCTTTCATTAGGCCTCTTTTCCATCTTAGTTAGGGACATGCGATCTGGGACTTTGAAAGTGGGTTCAGGGCATAATATTGGGTATCTGGAGCTTGGAATGCGGGCTCACTAGAGGATCGGTGGAGGGTAGCTTATGGAGGGGCTGCAAAAATATGAGTGGTCAAAGGAGCGGGATATGAGGTGCTTTTGGGGAGTAGAGTGTGAAAAGGTTGTGGGGAGATATCAGCACCAATGGGAATTTGGATTTGTGACAATGACATAATGGTGACGAGGTTTTCAGTGTAGTTAGTGGGAAATAGTAGTGGATGACGCCCACTAATCCAGGCTTGGTACATTTCGGCCATCTGTCCTTTCAACCTTAAGACTTCTTCTTTCAACTCAGATTCTAATTCAACAATCTCCTTAGGCGGATCAACAACACATGTGTCCAAGTCTTTGCTAGCCATGGCTTCCTTTCTTTTTGACCTTGTGTTGTATGAACGAAGTGCCAAAGTGCCACAAACTAACCACCCTCTGTTATGATAACAATGAAAGTAACAAAGAGGAGAAAAACAAAGCCAACATGTTACCGTTAGGACATCTATCAGATAGAAATATCACATGCGTGCAATGCCCCTAGCAACAATTAACGGTTCTAGAATGACTTCGAGTGTCACAAGGTCATTTGACATCATCCCAATTTTGTTCATTTCAATTCTTTCTTTTCTAGTACTTCTTGGCTCGCTCATTTTCCTTCCTCTCTTTTCTTTTTAATTATCACTCTTTTCTTTCTTCTCATTTCTCACATCCCACAACTTTTTTCTTTCTTTTTTTTCCTTTTTTTTTAATAATGATTCGATTGAACCCTATGTAGGTTGCCTACGTATCATGTCTCTCATGAATCAAATCAAGCGTAGTTCTGGAAAAGTAAAGGACAAAATAAACTAAAAAATAAAAATCTTGTTGGATTTTCATTTTTTTTTCAAATACAAAATGGGAAGTAATATAACAAAGACTCGATATTACTGTACAAGACTAGAAAGTAAAAGACAACATGAATGACAGACTCTAAATATAAAAGTATCTTTAAGCAGCTCCTGAATGCAGTGGTCCTGAGGTATTTGTCATGCTCGAGCTCTGGTACACTAATCCATACCTGAATGAGAAAAATAAGACCAAACAGAGTTAGCGACTCAAGACACTATGCGACGCCACAACACCTCCTATGGGACACATGCAAGACACGATTGGGCTATTTGTGAAAATTAACCTATGTGGCCAAGAGTGGTTAAAAGTGTAAACTCAACAAGATTGAACTCATAGACATGGAAAATGCCTTACTAAGGCTTATATGGATTCAAACTCCCAATATCATGGCCCAAAATTAATTTGCGGAAATGCCCCATTTTGCAAAAATGACCGATATGGCCAGAAGTGGCTAAAGATGCAAATCCAAAAGGACGGACAAAGGTAGTGGGACGCTTAGTTGCGAACTCAGGATTATGAGACATAGGTCAATGAACCACTTTTGCAAAAATGACTCCATTTTGCAAGAATGGCCGATGTGGCCAAAAGAGGCTACACATGCAAATTCAACAGGAATGGACCTTAAAACTGAAAGGACACCTTATTGTAGACAAAAGACTCTAAGATATGGGATAACAAACTATTTTGTGAGAATAGCCTTATTTTGCAAAAATGGCCGATGTGGCCAAATATGGCTAAACATGCAAGATTTGGCTAAGACCCCGCGAAGCCAAGAACCTAAGACTCACTAGGAAGACCGAACCCTATGTGGGCTGCCTACATATCCCATCCCGAAAGATGAGAATCAGGTATGCGTAGTTCGAGAAGATTGGACATGAGAGAAAGCTTTAAAAAGTACAACTAATTTGGAAAAACTATATTTTGTCTTTTTGAAAAATTATGGAAAATGTAAAAATCTTTTCGATTTTATTTTTTCTCTTTTTTTAATTTATTTTTGGAAAATGATGAGAAAGGGCACAATCTTTTTGGAATTTTTTCATTTTCATTTTTTGTCTTTTCTTGAAAAAGTTGTGAAAGAAAAATATAACTGGGCCCTACTTGCTTCATCTTTATACTTTACCCTCTTTTTTTTTCCCATTTACCCTCAACCATTATTAGTCCGCCAAATAACCTTTTTACTCTTAAAAAATGCAATATGAAACACATAGGGATGATTAAATGTCTTTTTGGGCCATGTGCCTATTTTGACATAATTTGGATAGGCCTCCTATAAAGGGACACGGTGCCTAGGATCGAGCCCTGATAAGTGTGAATGACATGATGCAAATAGGCATGACCTAAAGGCTGACCTAAGTTTGAGGATTCACTAGACAAGGCAATTCGAGGCGGCACGTGGTCGATGGCGGCTGCTCTAACTGTCCGCCCACTCCACACTCCCACGCCACCCCCTAAAGACACGAGTGACTCACAAAAAGTCCGTGTATGCTCAAACGTACTCCGGAAGACTTATTGCAGAAAGAAGAGCCGTGGTTATGCAAATAATGACAGTTATAAAGCAGTAACATATAAGGAAAAACAATAAACAAATAACCAACAAAACAAGAAATAACACAAACAAACTAAACAAACAAAGCAAATAAAGAAAACAAACACCTCAATCGAATATCCTGAAAGCGAACAAGATTAACTATCAGCTAGAACCTGCAACTCCCCAGTAGAGTCGCCAAAGCTGTCACACCCCTTTTTACTACCTCACTAACCTTCTTAAAAATAATAAAAGGATTTGTAAAGCTCAAAAAGGAGTTTTAATTAAAGCGTGACAAAATTGTGTCTTCAAAAAGATTTTTTAGAGTCTCCACCTGACATTGGTTTCGGTGTGCCAGGTCACCGTTTTTAAAAAAAATGATTTTTTTCTTTTAAAACACTTTGGACTCTAAAACTATGTTTGCACCAGAGTTCTAGGTAATGGGGTTCATTTGACTCAGGGAGAAGGTGTTAGGTATTCCCCGAGTCTCGTGAAAGTCACGGGTGCGTACTCGATCTAGTTGGCTTTTAAAATATTCAAATTGAGGTAAAAACATAAAGGAAAATAAACACGAAAGAGGCTCGAGGTCGTCCCCATCTAATAAAGGAAAATAGCAAAAAATAAAAATAAAATAAAAAAAGTACAACGAGTTCGCTTTCGGCCTCCAATTATAGAATACTACGGGGCATTCCCCGGAATAAAATATATACAAATCCTTCGGCATACCCCGGATAATAAACTACATGAAACGACCTCTTGCCTCAAATAAAATTGAAATAAAGAAAACCTAAGGTTTGACTACCCAAATGTGGTCGGCCTAAACATGGTACTAGCGATTTCAAGCAAACAAGATAAAATAATTAATGTGATAAATTTAATTTCTCATTCTATATGTCCAAAACCACATATTTAATGCAGAACTCTAGTCAACTTATATATGTATAATTAATTCTTTTGTCATCTGAATAGTAACTGTAATAATTAAATATAGAATCAAAACTCACTTTAACTATCAAAATTCATCCAAACAGATTAAACTAAACAACAACAACAAAATGACGTTAAAAAAAGAGCAATAATAGATTAACAGAATAATAAGAGCATGATATTAAGCAAACAAGAAGTAGAAGGAAATGAGAAATCGACCTCAATGAACCTGAAGTTTTATTGTATGGCAACTTTGAAACACAAATGCTGGAACCGCAGATGAAAACTCGAATAGACGCCAGAAGCTCGAAACCAAAACGACTTCCATCAAATTCAGTCAGATTCCATGGTTTCAAGATCGAAAATCAGATGAAGAAGCTAAAATCCGAGATCAGAATTAGGGCAGATGAAGCTGAAGTTTCATTGTTCTTTTTCGTACTCTGTTCTATGTGTGCGCGTGTGCGAATTTTTTTTGGCAAGAGGCGAATTATGTAGCGTTAATCAGTTGCTTCCTCTAGATTCTGAAGAGAGGTACATGCACTAAAATAATGACTAGTTAACTGACGCAGCTAATACTTCCGCTTTCTTCAGGATATGCTGCAATGATTGTAATTCTTACAATAAGTTTATTTTTTGTTATTCACTAATCTTACATATGTGACCAAGTTTTTACTTGCATGCTTATAGCCTTTATAATCATTTCTGCATCTCCCTTCTTCAAAATCATCAGTGTGGTAACTAGCTGCTTGAGGTTTTTGCCGGATTTCTGACCACTCGCCGGCGAAGCAGTGGTAGCGGAAGGGTGGTTTGCGGATGTTGGTGTTGGCTGGTCGGCGTCAAAGGTGAAGGCGGTAGAAGGGTTGTGAGAGAGAGAGAAGAGAGAGGGGTGGGCGATAGCGGTAGTGAGGAGGTCCAACGACAGAGAGTTCAAGAATTAGGTTGGTCTAGGTCTCTTCTAGGGTTCGTCATTTTCTGTGGAAGATAGAGTTTATATATGGAGGTATGGGGGAATATGGGCCATTAGATTTGGTGGGGATGGAAGACTAGGATTTAAAATTAAAATGGGTCAGCTAGGTTATGGCTAAGGGATTGGGCTCAGGTTGGTCCGATTTGGACTAGAAATTTGGAGTTGGATCTATGTCTTATTGAGTTTTAACTTTGGGGTAGGAAGACTAAATAACATAATGTATCTATAAAATATAAAAACCACTCTTAATTAAAATAAGTATTTTTTTTGAACGATAAGGATATTATATTAGAAACTAAACATCCAACATATTACACGATATTAGTAGTGCCTTGCAAGGCATCATTGTTTCCTAAAGTAGCCAACTTAGTACATACTTTAGTAGAAACATATTTAACAGAAGAAACTTCCTCCATATACTTTTGATATTGTGCTATCGCATGTTCCGGTGGGGTTGCCAAACGAGAGATTTTATTTTTGTTAGTCTGTAGTAGTGCCATTCTTCCCAAGGCATGTGCCACCTCGTTTCCTTGTCTGAAATTATGCCTGAGTACCACCTGAGCCTTCTTCCTTGCGTGCTGCATCAACCACCTGCAATCATAGATTAGTTTTGTGGAAGTAGGGTAATCACTATCTAGCATATTAATAATCTTCGATGCGTTAGTTTCTATTTCCACTGGTATCAAGTTGTGCTCCATTATAACTTGAAGGCATTCTCTCAAGGCTTGAAGTTCCACTTGTGTTGCTGAGAGGGTTGTAACTTTTTTGTGGAATGCTATGATCCAGCTTCCTGTGCTGTTTCTTGCTACTCCACCTATACCACATTGACAATCATTTTCATTGAAAGCTCTGTCTATGTTGACTTTCAGCCATCCTCTTGGTGGTTTATGCTATTTTATTTTGATAGGTTTATGGTTTCTACTATTCATACCTATTTTTGTTAGTAGATTATATTCTACTGCATGCTTTGTAATCGAATTCCAATTTAGGCAGCAATTAGTATTATTGTGATTATTATGGTTTCTGTTTTTCCAGATTAACCAAATTGCAAAGGGGAAGATGTCTGTCCATCGAAGGTATGTGTGATGATGGAAAATGTGGCTCGCCCCCTTTATTTGGTCTATCCAGTGATTAGGAGAAGTGGGATTAAAGTTAATCCCAAGGACTTTCCAAATGTGTTTTATAGATAACATGACCAGAAAATATGATAGATTGTTTTGTCGTGATGCTTACAAATGGGGCATTTAGGGTTAATGTTTATGCCTAGATTGGATAAGTATACTCTAGTTGGGATCCTATTATGGTAGCATTTTCAGATAAAGATTTTTATTTTATTTGGACATCGAAGTTTCCAAATCCAGTTGTAATCTTTGAGCAAAACTCTTTTTTATCAATAATTTTGTAGCAGGAAGAGGTTGAAAAGATCCCATTTGAGGTAAGGCTCCATATGTTATGGTTATTAGCAGTTGGAGGAGCGGTGTAGGTTATAAAAGCATTTATGTTGTTTAAAATGCTATTTGGCAACTCAAAAGATAGTTTGGTAAGATCCCATTTATTCCCAGACCTTAGTTTACATATAGTGATTTTGTCCTCATTAAGGTTAGGGGGCCTTCAATCATTTTTCTAAAATTTATTATATTTGGAATCCAGTTTGATTCCCAAATGCTAAGAGAGGTGTTATTGATGTCCCATCTAGTCTCATATTACAATAGTACAAGCTCTTCAAAATACTTTTCCATATGAAGGAGGGATGTTTTTTATTTCTGGTATTAGCATATTTGCTAGCTATGACTCATGTCCATAAGGAATTAGTATTAATCAATCTCCATGCTAGACTAGTAAGTAAAGCCAGGTTTTTACTTCTAGCCTTTCTGACTCTCAGTCCCCCCTTTACTTTGTCCCTTGTAACAAAATCCCAGCTAAGAAGGTGATTTTTTCTTTTTTCTGGAGTGGAGTTCCATATAAAATCTCGTTGAACCTTATCAATATCCTTAAGAGTTTTTGTAGGAAGAAGGGAATATTGCATAATATGGTTTGGTATATTATTAAGGGTGGATGTGACTAGAGTACATCTTCAGCCATGTTTAGCCATCTACCTTTCCAACTTCCCAATTTTGTTCTCATTTTATCAACCACAAATTGGTAGTCCTTATGGTTAGGTTTTGAATTAATAATAGGAAAACCTAAGTAAGTACCTAAGTTGTCGCTAAGCTTGATGTTGAAGATGGATGATAAATCCTTTCTAGTTGTGTTTGAGCAGTTTGGAGAGACAATTAATTTTGATTTTGTTTTACTAATAGCCTGACCTAAAAGTAGGCAGAAGTCATTGAGACTTTGTAAGATTGTGAGAGCTATTTTGGTGTTTGCTTTGCCTATGAGTGTTATGTCATCGACAAAGAATAGATGCGATAGTGTAGGGCTTCTAGGGGTAATTTTCAATGCATCCCATTTCCTGGTGTCAATTTTGTGATAGGTCATTTTGGAGAGCATTTTCATACATAATATAAAAATGTATGAGGACATTGGGTCACCTTGTCTGATACCCCTTGTAGCTGTGAGCGATTCTGATTTTACCCATTAACCAGGATGGAGTAGCTAGGTAGCTATGCACGACATGATCAGATTTATGGTTTTTTGAGTAAATTTGAAGTAATTTAAGATTCTATGAATAAAAGGCCATTCTAGTTTATCAAAAGCCTTTTCAAGGTCTATTTTGAGGATCATATGTCCTTCTCTTGATTTTGAATTTCTAATATATTTTATTACCTCTTGAATTATAACAACGTTGTCACAATCTTCTACCTTTAATGAAGCTTGCTTGGTGAGGTCCAATTAATTTGTTAAGGAAAGGCCTGAATCTGTTGGCGATGATTTTTGTAATTATTTTATACATGGTATTACAGAGGCTAATTGGTCTGAAATTTTTTAGATTATTAGCATTTTCAAATTTAGGAATTAGGCACAAGTAAGTTTTATTAGTGATTATAGGAATGCAGCTATCCTCAAAGACTTTGTGGCAAAAGGCATTTACACTATCCTTGATGGTATGCCAGTATTTTTGATAGAAAAGGAGGTATAAACCATCTGTCCTGGGGATTTATAGGGGTTAAAGGAGAAAACTGCCTTTTTAAATTCTTGGTCATTTAGGGGAAAGTCTAGGCACGATAGTTCATTGTACTTATCCATAGGGGTTACATTAGTTCTTGTATGCCAAATAGAATATGTTTGGGAAGTGGTAAAAAGATTTTTAAAGTAATTTCTAGTGTGAATCATTATACAATTGTGATCATCTATCCAATTTCCCATGTCATCTTTGAAGAAGACTATTTTATTGATTCTTCTTCTATTAGTATCACTAATGTGGAAAAATTTTGTGTTTGCGTCACCGTCATTTAACCACAAGGCTCTAGACCTAATTTTCCAGTAGTCTTCTTCCAACTTAAGGATATCATTATATTGTTGGGTAAGATTAACTTCTAGTTGTTGGAGAAAAAGGCTAGCATAGTATTTAGAACTGCTTTGGATCCCTCCTAGTCTGGCTTGATGTTTTAGACTTCAATACCATACAAGAGGGGGGGGGGGGGATTTGNACCAAGAATACAATCTTTAACAATTCCTAAGTTATTGATGTTTTATACTTCAATACCACACAAGGGGGGGGGGGTGATTTGTGTGGTGACCAATTTTTCGCTTAAACTGATTGTGGAAGGACCTGGTTCTTCTATGCGTTCCTTCTGCTACTGTTGCAGAATAATAAATGTAGAAAGTAAAGAACACAAGTATTTTTACGTGGAAAATACTTAGCTCATAAAGGTGAAAAAACCACGACCTACTACTCAGTAGGATTTTCCCCAACACTTCACTAAATCACTGAGCCAAAACAGCATTTACAAAACTCTTTGTAAACCTAAGGATTATCTCTAATCACGTCGTAGCAACTAGCCTCTAACTATTGCGACAACTTCAAGTTAACTCTAACTTGAATACTCAAAATACCTATTACAATTGCTTCTAGATAAAGCTAAAATGTACAATATGAAAACACCTACTATAATTGAACTAGAAATAAAGAAAGAAACATAAAACTCTTTATGGAGCTGGTTCTTCAATTTGGTTCATGTAGCTTCAGGTTTGCGCACTTGAATCACACACGAACTACTTGAAAAAAGCCTTACTATTTTGTTCTCAATTCACGTTTAAATTCTGCGTTCTTGTGCAACACTGTGATGTGAGAACATTCTGCAATTTATAGAGTTAGTAGATGAAGAAATAACTAGAGTTCTGATGCAACTCTTCCTTGGTGGAAGAGTTCTAGTTGATTTCAACTTCTAACTCCTTCCTTATCTTGGATAGTGTTCTCTTTGATTAAGGACTCCTTCTCCTTATCAATTATGCAAACTTTTCGATCAGGAGATATTAAATACACCAAGTTAAACTTATCTCTTTCACGTGCATCCCCCATACTCGAATTTGCCCGTTTTTGTGCACCTGAGGGATGGACCTGGTTCATGTCTGAGTTCCTTTATCAATCTTCAAAACTTAACCTTTACTTGGGACAACAAATTCTTCCTTTTTGATGATGACAAACTCTGTACTTTTCATACACTTAGGCCCTGCCAGAACTCATCTCAACATCAATGCAAAGTTAGAAAGTTTTCACTTATCATCAAGGATCAGATACATTAGGTTATAAACATCACTGTTCAAAGTGTAAAGCACAACCTTTTCCCCCCTTTTGGTATCATCAAAAAGTTGCATAAAATATGAGGTAACCAGAATTTAAAACTTACTCATGGCCACTAGGGCTACTTCAAATGCAATCATAGATTAATCATCATAGATCAAGCTAAGAATTTTAACCATCAAAGAAATATAAACAAATAGTTGGAGCAAAAGACAGTGAAGTTCATAGATGATTGATAAGATTCTACCACAAGGCATAAGAAGAAATAAAAATACTGAAAACATGAGCAAAAG